CCAGGGTAAACGTCCGTCCCGTTCTGGAAGTCCAAGTTGAAGTAGTCGTACGTGTTGATTTCGTTGAGACGGCTGTTGATTATGGGTAAGTATTCCCATCCAATCGCGTTCACGGTCTCGTTGAAAAAGATCGGGTTATCTGTAAGAAATTCTTCTTGCCACAAAAAGGCATAGATTAGTTTCAAAACTGTCGTGACTCCGTCTTCGAAAAACTTGGTTTCTTCAATTATGCCCATATGTATGTCTGCCGTCAAGTTGCGTATCTCGGGTAGGTAATAGTCCATAATGAAGTCTTGATATTCCTGCTGTAATCCAAAGGAGTCCATGAGGATAGGAGCCCAATGGTCCACGAACTCCGGAGTGAAGACCAGCGTCATAACATTGCTGAATATTCCAGCAAAAGAGATATAGTAATCTGGTATATCCAGAGCAGCTGTGTGTTCGGACCACATTTCGACAGGAAGATTCAGGTACATAAATTGAAACTCATCAGCAAGCTCCAATGACGTCTGTGGTCTTGGAGTAAAACTCAAATCTCTCACTATGGAAGAGGCAGGCAAGTTCGAAATACTCCCTTGGTGGATGAGGTATGACAAGACCCTGATACTCCACGTATCTTGCTGTCCTCCCAGGTTGGTGTTGCTCATGTGCATGAATGAAGATCCCATAACGAGGCTCGAAAAAGCCTTGCCTATCGCCTTGATGTACACTTCAGGAAGCTGGAAGATGGTCCCATTTTCTCTTTTTTTACACAACTCGAGGGCTGGATGGATGTAAGCCACGTTTGAAGTATAATCGCATGGCTCATAAATGATCATATCCAGGAAATCTGTGCGTGAGACATTGTTTTCAACGTAATGTGAACCCGCACCGCCCCATGGGTCCGAGGAGGTGCCGTTCGAGAGCCAATAATTGATGATACCCTGCCAAGCAGAGTCCTGGGAAGTGGTGAGTGTTGGGTCAAACGTATCCATACAGGCTCGTATTTCCTGGAAGAGAACCCTGTCGTATTCTGGTTCTCCAGTCATAAGCTGCTGCATTGCGTCAAACATCTGCAACATGGGCGGGTCAAGTTCATTTTTTGTTTCAGAACTTGCGGCCGAAACTACGAAAAACACGGCAGTCGCCGCAGCAATCACGAAAAACAACACGGCAGTCACCGCAGCAAACTTTTTAGCTGTCATCTTTGCCCAACGAACGTGAATTCAATAATGCACTTACTTTCCTTCTTGTGGTGCAGATATCCCGTGATTTGTTTCAGGTTAGTTACCGTGATAATAGAATCATCTGCAAGGCAGTGCAGAATTTTCACAGTGTGAATGTTTTTCCAAGTTTCGAGTGTTTACGAGTGTCCTTGCAACAGCAACTGCTGCGCTCTCAGAGAGCTGCAGGCCTTGTGACCAAACATTTTGGGCCCCTCGATGTGGTAAATGAATATCTTTATTTCGAGATAATACTTAATTGGTTTAACATTTTCCTTTCAATACAATATTCAACATTAAATTAAGTATTTTTGTATGTGTGACACTTCTGCCGTAAGTCTCATTTCATACAGATAAAATAAGAACAACTACTATATGTGAAAAAATAGTAAGATTTTTAAGAATCCCAATCATAAGAAATTTGAGTGTTTATAATATGTAGACTAATTAATGTGCAACAAATTACGATAGCCAGAGTAGGAGCTCAACAAAGTCCGCATATAATTCAATATATCTCCACGTTTTAAAGTGCTTCAAGATTTATAAATTATTCATGGTCATTCCGTTCAATATCCCAAGTTCACTTTCATTTTCCATGCAAAAGATTTTATCATAATACATGGAACTGCTGGCCAGATTTGTTGAAAAGGATTAGTGGTTTCCAAGGAAAAAGTTTGGTATTAAAACTGCCTTGCCGAATGCAAACCAGTTTTGCCTAAGTGATATGCCAGGTTTAACTGTGAGACATGTTACTTTCAATTAAGATGTATTAGGTCTATCATTCATTTCTCTCTAAATACTACATTTCTTGTGCATCAAACTGTTCAGAATTCAACACTTTCCAGCAACCCTGTTTTGAGTTGACATGGAATCGGGGACCGGGAACAAATTTCGAGAAAGTTCTATTAGCACTAATCGAACGTTTTGGGGTCTGGTGAGACATGTATTAGAATAGAATAGAATGGAATAGAAGTGTCGGCACTGAAGAAATAGGCCCATGGCCTGTTGCCGATTCTTGTTCATAGAATATAATAGAAGTGTCGGCACTGAAGAAATAGGCCCATGGCCTGTTGCCGATTCTTGAATTTTTTGTGACTTGATTCACAAGGGATCCGGCCTTTGGAACCCGATCTTTCCATAACTGACGATTGATTGAGATAGCTGCTGGACTTATTGCCTGGTCCGTAATTTGCTAGGCATTTTATTTGTTTGAATTATTAGCTAAAATGTCTTGGCATGATAGAATGCCATTTGTCAACCGACAAAATTTTACACAGCTCAATTTTTAAATTTCATTATTTATTGAATTTTTCTTTCATCAATTCTTGTATCGACTACATATTTAATATATTAAAGACCATTCACATATACGTACGTTCGACTCTGAATCAAACCAAAAATAGTTACTTTTTACTGTCTCTTATTGACAATTATTAATTTTAAAACACATGCAGAAGTAAACATGTAGTGTTTTGTTAAAGCTATAATATTGTAAAACTACTATTAGTTAACGAACTTTTTTTAAGGTTACTATAATCATGTGATATTATACTTGTCTCATTTGTCATGCTTATGTAGAACCCAGGAGTCCGTGACGTTCCTTTCACAAAATACATATTTATGAATTCGCTCATTGTTTACTCGTTTGTAATACTAATGAATTTAGTAGATATATCTGGGACAGCTAAAAAATGTTCATGTGAAACAATTCATATAAAATAGAAGATGTATTCTAAGGGTCCCCCGCCTGCTGACTTGCCACTTTCCCTCGCTAGGTATAATAGTTCTTGCCCTGACACAGAAACGTCAACAGCTCCTCTAGAACTAAAGTAATAACTTCATGGAGTTAATCTATGAGAGGTGCATCCGTTGGCCCCAAACTTATACTCTTAAATGGCTCAACTCTTAAATTAACCCAACGTCTGCGTGGGGACCTCATTGAAATATACAAGTATACTCATGGTCTATACAAGGTCCCCGAAGGATTACTAGAATTTGAAACAAGAACCAACATAGGCACGAAAAGGAAAAGAATCGGCGACAGGCCACATCAGGCCTACACTTCAGCGCCGAGATCAATATGTTATGTTATGTTAAATAAGACCTGGAGCCAACAGCCTGTAGTCTTCAGGCCAGGATCTCACCATACTGCCTGGCACGTGTCAGGCATATGCCAGTCACGATGAAGTCCAATATTCTTTAATGCATTTCCATAGAAGCATTCACACCATGCGCATGGCAGGTGCCAATTGCACGGCTGGTGTGAATACTTCCAATGAAATACATTAAAAAATATTTGACACGACCGTGACTGGCATATACCTGGCACGGGTCCGGCAGTATGGTGCGAACCTGGTCCAAATAACCAAGGTGATAACGCAGTAGTTCCCGCGCGAAGGTTTCCCTAATTTACTTCCATCAAATGTGGACACGTGGACGCAATATTGTCCAGCGCAAAGTAAACCTACTTCATATTATTGAGAAAGATTACTTCTTCCAATATATTGTGTTCAGAGGGAACAAAAATTTTCGTATTCTATAATTAGATGAATTTGCATACAAGTATTTCGAGGATTTTTGTAAATCGACAATTCGGGTTCCATATTAATTATTCAAACATCTGTTATAATATGTTTAGTAGCTTGTGGGATCGAGACATCGGCCTACTATAAATCAGTCTAGAATTTATACACGATACAACTTCATATACAATTTTGTTTTACTGAGTTTTTCCTTATCGATGCTTTGTTTCACTCATGGTTCACTCATGTTTCACTCATGTTTCACTCATTTTTCACTCATGTTTCACTTATGTTTCACTCATGATTCAATTAAAAAGAGAAATATATTCTCATTAAAGACTACAACTTAGCACCGAAATTCTCAAGTGGAACTAAGTTCAACCATTCAGTTCTACTATAATGATAACATTAACTCTAACATTAACTATAAAAAAATTAGGGTGCATGTGATTTGAACGAACAAGCAAACCCTCTCTTGTCTCGCGCTGTATAAAAAAAAATTGATGATAGAACTCCATTAAAGCATTTAAAGTCACGTCAGATTGGTCAGGTGCACCTGATTGGTCAGTAGCGCCATATTGGTCAGTTAAACCACATTGGTNCAGTAGCACCATATTGGTCAGTCGCACCATATTGGTCAGTAGCACCATATTGGTCAGTAGCACCATATTGGTCAGTAGCACCATATTGGTCAGTTGCCTGTCTATCACGCCACCTGCAGCCTCACACCATCTAGTCATGTCATTCCTTCGCTTGTAAATAGTCATGAGAAACACTATCGTTATCGCAGGTGTTGAATAATCAGAAGGTCGGTCGCTTATCGATGATTGAGTTAAGGAACTCTTGCAATTACATTAATGATGATATTAATTTATGATCATGTATTGTTGCTAAAGATCAATTAACTAGATAAATATATTAACGATTGAATATTTAGATTCGTAATAGCTTACGTGATAACCATTAATGAAATTAATCCCATTTTTTGAGTAAACATAATTCAGAAATATTTACGGCGAAACCTTTTTCTGCTCGGAGCTTTCCTGTAGGGACTTTGTTTGGTGCTATTTATTAGGAAGAAAATAACGAAACGTTGGGAAACCCTGCTGTATAAATTCGTTCCAAGGTACGTAATACGGCTCATGTGCAATTGAGTAATGTTATTATCTCATAACGGTTTACCCTATTCTGCATATGCTATAGGATCCATAATGATATGTTCATGCAAGCGTTCAGTAACGGGTGTGAATAAAACACGAAATCAAAAGTCTTTTGATTCAAAATTATCATTTTAATATCTCAATTTTAAACAACAAATAATATAAGTCAGATATTCCTTCATTAATGTAAAACGGTATCGTCTATTGTTTTTTTTTACTTCGAAAATACAGTTCAACATCTAATTATAAGCGTTTAGAGTTTAGACAGTGTGGTGTGCTAAAATAAATTAAGGCATTTAGTTGTGAAATAATTATATGCCTAACGTAAATACATCATTCATCAGATGATATCGAAGAATTGACACAAGACTTCCGCATATTTTTAGTAATAAACCCATGTCCGATCCGTTGTATTAGATCAGTTATAGCTACATCTTGACCTAGACTTGTGATAGAAGTCTGTTGACTTCATCGCCTAGGTAGAACAGATCTAGCAGACCTATTGCTGATTCTAGATGCCATTTTGCGTGCGGCCATGTTGGATTGCACCACTCGTCGCCTGGGTAAATGTTGGTTCCATTTTGGAAGTCAGGCTCGAAATATTCAAACGAGTTTAAAGAATTAGCCCAAGCATTTACAATAGGTAGATATTGCCAGCCTAGAGCGTTAACTTCAGGATCTAGAAACTGTGGATTGTCAGTGAGCACATGTTCCTGCCATATAAAAGCATAAATCAATTTCGAAGTTGTTCCGATCAAATTCTCCAGGAACTTGGTTTCTTCGATGATACCCAAGTCACTGTCTCTTATACACATCTAGATCAGACTTGAAAAGCCTAGCACCATATCGAACCCGGTGGAAGTCGAGTAGCTACTTGAAACTATCGTCAGTCATGAAAAGATCCGGTCAAATGAAACGCTTTTAGATCTTCTGCGAACAGCGCACGAAAAGGTAAAGAATCGGCGACAGGCCACATCAGGCCTACACTTCAGCGCCGAGATCACTATGTTATGTTATGTTATTTTGTTAGCTTCAATATTTTACCATTGTTTAGCTACTGTCTCTTATACACATCTAGATGTGTATAAGAGACAGGTAAAGTTGATAGGAAGGCGGCACTTTATTTTCCATGAGGCAAGCTGATTGACCTCCAGCAAAGAGGGCATCATGTCTCCAGGCTCTTTCTCAAGAGTAATGACAAGAATCTTTCGACCAAGATTCTTACTCATTCCAGCAATTCCTGCTCTGCCAAAGGGAGAGCTGGCTAAAGCCTTACTCAAGGTCAAATCATTGGAAAAGAATTTCTCAACTGGGCGGGTGTCAGCAACTGGTTCAATAATCACAACTTTGCCCAGAGAGTTGGTCACATCAGGCTCTATCTCAATCTCCTGGTTAGATCTCAAAGAGTCCTTTGCTCTATTCCCTGTACCTGTCTCTTATACACATCTAGATGTGTATAAGAGACAGCTTATATACAGTGAAACATTCAACTTCAAAGTTTATTCTTTATTTTAGATAAAATACTCAAATTCTACTATTATTTTACTTTTTATTATTATTTTGCTATTATTATTTATTAATCTTTATACATCTGTCGATTCATTTGAATTCAATATGAATTGTTATGAAGAATTATTATTATATAAATGTAATGACGACGAAGAAAAAGGATGACCGCATGTGGTCAAACGGAACAAAACATGTGCATGTGCCGGGGTGTGTAATCGGATCTTGGGATGTTATTTGTTCAAAATGATTTTTACCATTATTGATGTTTGCTTCCCATTCCGATCTTGTAATAGATTATCAGTAAAGCATGGCATGTTTCAAATTTAATGACAGCACATGAACAATAACTTTGTTTCTTCTCGTCGTAAATTGTCTTGGCCGTTTACGACTCAGTCAGCTGATCTTGCATGTGTAAGCTGGCACCGTCATCATGCAGAACAGCTACAACGCCGTCATAAATGGGGGGGATCTTGCAATGATGGATTTTGACTTGACACAGCCTGAAGCTCCTGTACGGTGTCCTTTATGCCATGAAATGTTTGTCGTAGTGCCAAGCAGCCAGCCTCTGCAGCAGCACTTGTTAACTCAACACCGTCTTATCATCGCCAAAATCGACGAGATTGCCGATTTAAGACAGTAAGTGAAAACGGACATTTTCAAGATTAAATTTATAATATACTTCTAATACTATAGTAATGTTTAGATTATTAAGCCAAATTTCTTGTGTAAGTGTAGGTATTGTTTAATAATGTATATTACAGACTACAGAGTTGTTGTTTTGAACCCTGGAAAGTGGAAGAGTGGTGAAAATTCAATTAGCTAATACGAGTCTGAGATCTTGCTTCTGTTGCATGCTCTGATCACTGATATACCTAGCCATATTTTAAATATTGGGCAGAAATTTCTTAATTAAAATTGCAGGTAAAAATGATTGTTTCATAAGTAAATTTCCTAAATCTCTGGTGAAAATAGGCTACCTAGTCTGTTTGACTTTGTCCTATTTTTTACTGAAGAAATTAGGAAAAGGCCATAGGAAAAGGTGAAATTGTTCAGATTCTCAGGCCTTTTTGTATGGATCACTAGTGTTTTTTTTCCAAGTTTCCTCTAAATAGCATGAAAATGATATTTAAACAAACCAAACTACCTCTTCCGCTCTTCGGTTCCAGGGCTGGAAAAGTCCTATTTTTGTCTGAAATATCGCGGCTCTAATATCATATAATTTCAGTAGGTATGAAATCTCCTGGCTTGAATGTCATAAATTTTTGTTTGATTGAAAAATTGCGGTTTGTACTTCGGCACTTCGCAAACGTGTCACTTCATAAAATTTTCAACTTCTGCAATCTGCATTACTTTTCCGTTCCCCCCAGAATATCCTTCAGAAAAAAAAACATAAACATTGAAATGTAAACAAATCAACTAACATTTTGTGGAAGATCGCGCATAGTTGCGGGATCGTCTCTTAATATTGTCCAGGAATTACTAGGTATTTTTGTGCAATCATGTCTCATAGTCTCGTGTCACATATGACTGGGAGTTAATTTATTTTGTCCAATCTGAGTGTTGTTCCTAACTTCCTATATCAGTACAGTTACCTAGTATATGGGATCTTGCTGCGCAGCTTAGGCCTAAGTCTGCATTTTTTTTGTGTATGTGTGGCCCAGAATTCATTTAAAAGTGTTTTAACCCTTTTGTAACTCACAAGACTTATTGGTCCTAAGCCACAAGGTACAAATAGAATTGAGCAAGGTAAAAGGGTATATGTATCCAAGATCAAAGGGTTAAGTGACAAAATTTTGTTCTCTTGTGTGTGTGGCATGGTGGTATTGTTTTACACAACTGGTTGTCTGTGGTGATGCTTTATCAAGTGTGTAAACTGTCATTGGTTTACTTCATGCTTTGATGGAAAAACAAATAAAATTTTTGTTGCTTATTAGCAATCAAAGGCTTTTTAATGGCCTACTGCAATTTTACAGCTCCACTGCTCAGTGCTCAGTAATTATAAATCTCAGTTTAATTTTTATGAGCAGAGATTTTTTCCTGGATGGTTTTTCTTTAAAAATAATATTTGGGTCATGAATATTTTTTACTATTTTTATGGAAATTGAAGCAATTATGAGTTTTATGTTCTTAATTTACTTTATTTCTGGCAAACTTGATGTTTTATTTATTTTTATTTATTTGTATGACAAATTATGTTTTACTTTCCAAGGCATGTATTGCAAATGAAACTTCATTATTTTCAGGTACTTGATGTACTGGGGCAAACTGGAAGGAGCTGATTTAACTCAGTTTTGCTCTGCCATCTTGACCAACTCGGATCTACACCCGTCACATGGCAAGCCCGAGCGCTACTACCTGCTCAGTGAACACCTGCCAGAAGACAAACGTCTCAGGGACATGCTTAGGGAAATCAAGTTGGTATGTTAAACAGACAAGATTCTGATCAGGTCTCAAGTTTTATATTATTTCCCATTTTCAAAAATGTCTTTGTATTAATTGGCGTCATTTTTTTAGCATGGATTAGGAAGAAAAATGCTATATATGCTTTATTTTATCATGCATAGTAGTCAAAACTATTTAAATGCTGGATTAATCACTGGAAAAGTAATATCATGTTCACCAATGGCATACATTTTTTTCAGTGAAAAAAAATTTTCAGTGTGAAATTTTCATTTCAATAAATTGCTCATCTATAAATATGCAATTATTATGTCAAGCAAAAGGTTATTTATTTTGTGTTCACTCCTTTTCAAATACAATTTTTAATGCGCAGAGAGCTGTAACTCGCACCAAGGAACTGGAGCGAGCCGACACAACATTTAGCCGCAAGTGTGTGTACTGCTACAAGATAATTGGCTGTCTCTTATACACATCTAGATGTGTATAAGAGACAGGTTCTACCTCATAAACTATCTTCAGGTAAGTTATTTCTGTTAGACCAGGTTAGAAAGTTCAAAGTAAGATGGCCAGCTAAGTGTGGAGTGTCTTCTTTCTTAACTCAATTGGAACAGTAAATTGGTTTATAATTACGTACTTAGACTTTGCGGGATCGGGAGGGAATTATATAAGTACTGCATTGTTTTCCATTTCATGCTAGGTTTTGAAAATACTTTGACATCATGGCATGTCATGGATGGAATTATATAAGTGCTGCATTGTTTTCCATTGCATGCTTGGTTTTGAAAATGCTTAGACATCATGGCATGTCATGGATGGAATTAGATAAGCACTGTACTGCATTGTTTCCCATTACATGCTTCAATCTCCTTTCTTTAATTGAGTTTCATTGCAGATATTCAACAGTTATTATTTTGTGAGCTTCATCAGTAGGTATGTTTAATCACTAGGAAACTAGCTGAAAGTAAGTTAATTATATATAGGTATGTAATTATATATGTGTTTGCACATTTGCACCTGTGTTGAAATAATTTTTTGCAATAATTTTCACTGTTATTCCTTGTATTATGATTGATAGTTTACCCCAGGTAACGGCTTGACGGAATTTACTGGCTTTCTGGATGATTGCCTCTTGAATGCTTTTTGGATTTTTTATTGCATAATATCATGGTGATTTTTTCACCAAATTCTGTACCTGTCTCTTATACACATCTAGATGTGTATAAGAGACAGCAGTAGAAATACGTGCAATAAAGCATGTTCACCTAGGTTGCCCCGGATATAACTGTTATA